CCACTAATCAACGAATCACTAGACACACTATCCGGCGCTAAATTCTTCTGTACTCTCGATCTTGCTAGCGGCTATTGGCAAGTTGCCATGGACGAATCCGATAAAACAAAGACAGCGTTCGCAACCCATAAGGGTCTATTCCAGTTTAAAGTTTTACCGTTTGGTTTATCTAATAGCCCTGCGACATTTGAACGCTTGATGGAAGCCGTTCTTTCTGGCCTACAATGGGAGAAATGTTTAGTTTATCTAGACGACATCATAACATTTGGTGCCACATTCGAAGAACCTCTAGAGAACCTAACTGTCATCTTTGACAGACTTCGTACAGCGGATCTTAAACTTAAACCGAAGAAATGTGCCTTGTTTCAAGAGCAAGTAGAATTTCTGGGTCATACTGTATCCCAAGAAGGTATAAGATGCAACCCTGGTAAGATATCAGCCGTAATAAATTGGCCCGTACCAACTTCCGTATCGGAAGTACGCAGCTTTATAGGACTTGCATCCTATTATCGCAGGTTTATAAATAATTTTTCGAATGTCGCTTACCCTCTAACCCGCTTGACACAAAAGAATAAAAAGTTTGAATGGTCAGAGGAATGTGAAAATGCTTTTAATACCTAAAAGCATCTCCTTACAACTGCACCAGTGTTATCATATCCATCACCAACAGACGAATTTATATTGGATACGGATGCTAGCGCCTATGGAGTTGGAGCTGTGCTATCACAGATGCAAAATGGGGAGGAAGTAGTCATTGCCTATGGTAGCAAGACACTTTCCAGATCCCAAATGGGATATTGTACTACATATCGGGAGCTACTAGCAGTTGTAACCTTTGTCAAACAATTCCGACACTATTTATATGGAAGACCCTTTCTGTTGAGAACAGACCATTCTTCGTTGATCTGGTTGAAGAATTTTAAGGAGCCAGAAGGTTTACTTGCCCGCTGGATATCTCTGTTGGAAACATACGACTTCAAAATTGAACACAGGAAAGGAAGTCTTCATGGCAATGCAGATGGCTTATCTAGGAAACCAAGAAAACGCTGCAAAAGAGAAGGATGCAACCAATGCTCATCCGGCGAATGCTCAGTCAATGCTTTAAGCTCAGCAACTACTCAAGATTCAGACATGACCAGGACTAGTAGACCCGAATCAAATTGGTTAGAGCAATGGAGTCTTCAGTACTTACAAGACCAACAGGATAAAGACATGGCAATATCTAAAGTTAAACAACTTATCATTCATCAAAGAGAACGTCCGAAATTAAATGATCCTCTACCAACAGTAAACACCTTGCTTCGCCAGTGGACGCGACTAAAAGTGGAGAACGATATACTCTACAGGGTATGGGATGAAAATGAAAGTCGTCTCCAGCTAGTTGCCCCAAAATCTATAAGGAGAGAAATTATGCAATATTTGCACAACGCTAAGACATCGGGACATCTTGGACGCGAGAGAACTCTGCATTCCATCAGAAATCGTTTTTATTGGCCAGGAATGACTGATGATGTTGCACGCTGGTGTCAAACTTGTCAACCTTGTTCAAAGAAGAAGCCAGGTCCTGGACAAGGGAAGTCCCCAATGCAACACCATGAAGTATTTGGTCCAATGGAATGTCTTGCCATCGACATCATAGGTCCCCTACCGTTAACTAGAGATGGAAAACAATATATTATGGTTGTTGGAGATTATTTTTCCAAATGGAAAGAGGCATTTGCATTAGAAAATCATACGGCACAGACGGTTGCCGATAAACTTGTAACGGAACTAATGTGCCGCTTAGGCATACCATTTAGAATTCATACCGACCAAGGCCGTGAATTCGAATCGGCACTGTTTGCTGAGTTGTGCTCTCTCTTGGAAATAATAAAAACCCGTACCACACCATATCACCCTCAATCAGACGGTATGGTAGAGAGATTCAACCGCACACTCCAGCAAATGCTATCCATCTTTGTCAATGAAAACAGATCTAATTGGGATGACCACTTGCCATATTTAATGATGGCCTATCGAGCTACGGTTCACGAAAGTACAAAATGTACTCCCAATCTGGTCATGCTAGGGAGAGAAACTAATCTTCCCATAGATGTTATAGCTGGTACAACGCCTACAAATCCACCAGAGATTGGCTGCTACCACTCTTACGTAGAATGGATTCGCAATACCATGGAAATTACATATGGTATTGTTCATGAAAACTTGCAATCAAGTTTTAAGAGACAGAAACGATACCATGATGTTCGGCTGAAGCCACGAGAGTTTGCAAAAGACGATCTGGTATGGAGATGGTACCCACCAAAAACAAACCAAAAATTAGGATCAGGTTGGACAGGACCCTACAGGGTTGTTCGAAAATTCTCAGATATAACCTACGAGATAAGACATGAAACAACAGGAAAAACGAATGTGGTCCATGTCGATCACCTTAAGCAATTACATGGCGACGGAATTTCAGAGAATCAATATGATTCTGACAATGACCAAGACGAGTCTTGTCTATGTAATCAAAGTTCAGACTCTGAATGTGATATTATGAGCGATCAGGAGGAAAGTGAGCCTTTGGCTTACAAATCGCCAGATCTCGATGCGGTTCCATCTAGACGTGCTGATACTTTCTCCCGGAAAGGAAGGCGCATAAAAACCCATTTCTCGATATTCTCCTTAAAATAAATAAATAAATAAATAAATAAATATATTTCATGGGGGTGGTGTGTATGTTATTTGTTTGTTTTAATGAAGTATAAACCTATGGAAAACCCAAGTTTAATGTCTGTTGAGGACATGTAGTAGATGGTGTAAATTCCTAAGGTTGGAATTGGGTAGATTTGTTTTGTGTACACCATGGGTTTTTAGCTTTCGGTGTCTTATCTACCAGGTGTTCTTATTTCCCATGAGAGAATAGTGATTCTCCGAGTGATGGGATGTGTCCTTGTTATGTCATAGAAATGACAGTTGTCATTGTTATATAATTTGGGTGGGGATAGGTTATACAGTTTATTTTCCTTTCCAACTCTAATGCTGTTGTAATGTAAGGCTTAGTAGTAAATATAGAATATTCATAAAGCTCTTTAATGATAAACAAATTCTATTTTAGGCAACAGATTTTCTGGAATTATTTGCTGACATGAATGAGGTTAATGCTGTCCTCGGACAGTGCCAGACAGAGTACATCGAGATCTTGTACGATGCTTCGGAAATGGTCTGCCCTGTCCTAGGATGTAAAGGGACAAAGTTTCCCTCAAAGTCTAAATTTTCAAGGCACTGGGAAGAGCGACATAAACTGTCAACCACCAAGTACCTATGTTCGGTAAATAGCTGCCTTGCAGAATGTAGAAGGAGGTCAGATATGAGGACCCACATACGAAGAGTCCATGAGAGTGACATGGAAAGGGTAGAGTTCATCCTCACTAAATGTGAGGTCGTTCAACGGGAAAACAAAGGTTATTTAGACCCTGGACTTTACATTTTTAAGGGAGGCTGTGTGAACGAAGCTACAAACCCAGGAGTGACCCAGGTACACCAAGAGGAGGATTCCAATGCAGATGATGTAATTACCACGTTGGATTCAGTGAGTAATACAACTACTCAGACTGAACCTAGAGCGGCAGGAAGTGCTCCAAAGGAAGGAGATGGTATGGAAGAAGCCAGTAGCAAGAAGAGGAAGCTGACTCTTCAGGAGTACAGGGAACGAGAAGCCCCAAGACAACAGAGCACAGGGACCCAGACAACATGGCTGAACCTACCTACCCTCTGTCTACCAAACCTCCCTCAGGCGGGTGACTCCGAAGAGTTGCAGTCGTGCTTGATGTGGTTGTGCAACAGTATGGATGTCATTGGGAGAGCGAGAGCGTTAGTGAAGAAGAGGATCGAGGATGGTGACCGAACCGAACTAGATCGAGAGAGAGACATGAGACGACAATTGGAAAAAAAGAACCGTGAGCTAGAGTGTGAGGTGAAGAGACTTCAAGCCATGGACAAGCTTTTTGAAGAGTGAATACGACGTACTGTGATGGACTGTGTAAATGTGAAAGTTGTGACATTGTTGATTTATTGTTAAAAAAAAGTGTTGATATAAATATACATGTTATTAATTGAATGTCTGTTATCTTAAAAATTTCGATATTATAATTTGATAATAATTGAGTGTATGTTACCTTAAATTATTATGTAGATTTATTGTGCGTACATGTGATTATATATGGACTAATGTGTATTTTCATACACATTAGGTCTTAAGGAAGGGGGAGTGTGATGGTTTTATGTGTATTTAATTGTGTATATATTTATTTATCTATATGTGCTATATTTCATTCATATTTTCCCCTATTTGTCTTTACTTATTGTATTGAGTTATTCCCCTTTGTTATAACCCGTCCAGGTTAGGCGCGCCCGGGTCTATAGTACCCGGCCGGGATTTATTATTGATATAATATATGTGCATTTGTTTAATCAAGAGCAGTCGACATTATAATTAATTATCGAATAGACGTATTTCGGGATCGGGGCTAAATTCCTATCCACAATAATGGTAATTATCACGTTCTTGGATCTTATGTGATATTGTTTCATATCTTTTACGTTTGTTTTACATGATTGTTATCTCAACAGAATATAGAACTAATTCTTTAAACACTGAAATTCTTGTTATTCTTTTATCCTTCCGAACTCGGATCATGTACGGGACTAACCCCTAGACAGTCCCGTTACAAGTGTATTAATTTAAAGTAGACAAAACCCTATGCATACGAAGCGGGGGGGGGGGGGAACCAGCATCTTAATAAATATTTACATATTAAATCTATAGCAAAAGACTAGGAAATAGTGGAAACCCCTTCCACGTTCTACGGGCCTGTTATGAAACTAAATTAAAAATTCTAAAACGGCGCCTTTTGATCATTTTGGATCCGCACCGAAACTTGAGTTAACTGGTTCTCGGAAAGAGAGAAGTAACCAGTTTATTTGTTGTCATAGTCCATTGCCTTGCAGGATTGCTTGCGTCGGCTTTTGATAAAGAAAAGCATCAACGGAAATGTGACATGCCATAAAGATACTCTCTTCATCCGAAGCATTAAATGGTAACCCTAAAACGAAACGAAATTTGTTCTAGTTTACATCCTTTAGCTTTTATCAGTTGAATTGTGACATAAGGTTGTTCGAATTTCCTCTATAAATGAGCATGGTACTGAAGTACAGGATATAAAGCGTCGGCAACATAGGGGCCTATACATGCTATAGGTCTACAAATGCTAAGAGCCAATGCTAGTAAAGTATACATTAAGAGAAATATTGGGCAACTCTCCGAAAAAAGATGCGAAATGAAACTAAGAATTAATAAAAAAAAAAATCGAAGTAGAATTATCAGTGAATGTTATAAGATTAATTAGATGGAATGTTCTATCGTTGAAATGATATTGTCCTACGGACCGCCTATCCCGAGACACAGTAAGATTATTCTACCTAAAGATTAATCTATTTGTCTTTAGTCTGATTGCTGGTTATTGATTATATGTGTATATTTTAAAACCTTCTTGGTGGCGTTTTTTAAATGTTGAGTAGAAGTAGTCATTTAATGCATATTAAGCATGATGAGTTATTATAGAGGCACTATTGTGTACATGTACTACATTGTACATATACAATTATGGACTCTTTCGATGGTGAATATGGTTTGTTATTCGCCAGAAAAATACTAATATTACATTGATATTTTTCTGGTGAATAACAAACCATATTCACCATTGAGAGAGTTCATAATTGTTTTATTATATAGTCAGGATTTGAATGAATAAGACATTAAAAGGCAGCATGACGATTCCATTTAACTTATTAAAGAAATTTAGTCCTAGAAAAAATTTAAAAAATGTCTGGATTACGACTAATAACTTCCGTGTTTTCCTTTCGCTGTGTGTAAAACATCGAAATGTTTGGGAAATAATATTGCCAAAGACTTACCTAACAATTTTCCTGCTAATATAATTATGCAGCTGGCTCAGGCCGTTGCAACCAATTTGTTTACAACATTGTTTGACATAATGATAGTAAGGTCACAATGCCGCTGCATGCTCAGTGACCCTCCTGTGAATATGACTTCAAATCCAGTGAATATGTAGTGTTGTGAACTGTTTGCGTTTGTATGGATGATATAGGGACTATTTATAGACTATGTAATAAACATGTATATTGATTGTTTTTCAGGGATAAGATTTACATTTTTCAAAATGTGACAAGAGGAACTAAGAAGAACCTGACCTCAGTATATAAGATAATCCATGCCCACCCTTAAGAGATACATAATGTGCTTTACTCTTCGATTGAATCGGCACAAAAAACTTGTTCTTTTTGCAATTGTTGCTTTGACTGTCATATTAATCCATCGATACATGCAAAGGTAAGGTTTTTTATTTTTTTTGTTTTGTGTGTGTTTTGGGTAGGGGGGTTCTGGAGGGGGGGGGGGACAAATATGAAAAAAATGTGGAAATGAATACTACCTTTTCCCTCGGTAATGGGAATCAAATGAGTCAGGGGGGTTAGGCTATCTTGTACAACTCAGAAAAAAGTTTGCTGAAGTTTCAAAAAATGAAAATTATAATGATGACCAAATTGTCTTTTTTTCAGTGACCATTACTTGATCGAGGAATTTTCTTTCTCGTTACCACCGTCCCAGAAATCAGGTCCCCACAACGAAGTACATAATCAAGGTATATCTATCATTCCTGCATGCTGCTGTGAAAGGCTAGATGCATCTATAAAAAATTATCAAAATCCACCCTTTTTATCTTAATTTTTTGGTATTGAAACAGACATTACATGTGTCTATGGATTCACAGGTGTGTGAAAGTCGGTCAATATATCAGGTCTCAATAGCTCAGTGGTTAGAGCACTGGCACTGTGCACCCGAGTCCAGTTGAGACTTGATTTTTCACCACCTGTGACAAATGCATATACACTATCTCTTCTGGTGATTCCTTGAAAAAAAGTACATTTACAATATTCAGAATTTTGTATTTTTGCAGTACTTGCTATTAGTAATATTAATTAATAATTATTTCTATTTCCATTTTTTGTAGGTCATGCTAGAATCACACAAAAAATGAAGCATGTATCAGAGGAAGAATCGCAACGCTATGTCGATTACATGGCGGAAAACTTCATCATAAACTTCACAGTTATCAGAAACACAGCATCGTACGCATTAAAGAAAATTTCTCTCCATAATGTAGGTCAACTAAAAATACCCTACTTTGTGTGGAGTATATACTTTTATGACATAACCTTCGTAGGGAATAGCAGGTTTCCTTATCCCATGGGTCTGAGGTTAGATAATGCCGAACTTCTGATTTTCCATGAGGGTGGGAATCTTTATCGTCTACAACCAACGAATAAATTTCCACCAACTATCCATCCAGATGACAGAATTGAGGTTGAATACGACGCGTATGGACCTCATGTTTCTCGTTATTTTTCTTTTCCAAACTGGTTTGTCTCATGCCCCACATGTGCCCCTAGAATTTTGAAATGCACACAAGGTGAAAGTTTGGATTTTGTCGAAAAGTTGTCTAAAGTGCCGCAGTTGAAACGATTTGAGAATGACCTACATAAACCTTTTACAGTAAACGACAGATTTAAAAGGTATGTATTAATATAAAACTTAAAAATTTCAGAATCTTATCGATACTTTTAGTATTCGTGTATATACTGTTAATCACTTTTTATTCGCAAGAACTTTATTTTCGCATAATTATGCATCTGTCTGCTTACAAAAATATAATTCTCATACATTTGTATTATAAAGGATTATATAGGCAAATTTTGTCTCTCTGGTAAACACAAAACAGTTATGTGGTGATTATAAGGTAAAACGAAAATATAGTGATCTACTGTAACAGTATATGAAGACATAAGTTTCTAACTATATTTCCACATACATGTGATATGTACCGGCGGTATGCAAAATGTACAGTTTTTCGAGCCCATTCATCGTGTACCGGCGGGACACCAAAATTCACGGAATATGAAAATTTGTACAGTATTTTGAATTTCTCGCTAAATGCCGCCATTTTCCTCTCATTCTCGCTCTCGAGACACTGGTCTGACTGGAAAATGTCACCTGTGTTTGACACTTGACCTTCTGATAATTGTGTAGTGTACACAAACCATCGCGTGTGAAGGTGTGAACTGCCAATTGGGTTAATTATCTTGCTATAAATCCGTATCAAGATACTTTTTTAAACATGTTAAAGGGGTACTTAATTATAACTGATAATGTTTCGTAACTTGATTGAAAAAAATTAAGGCAACTTCTTAAGTTGATATACATGAATCTGACCTAGATCTCCGTAGGTTTAAAATATACGATGTTTAATTATTACCATGATTACGCTGAAATAAAGGATATAGTTTAAAGTTTTTATGTGCTGAAATTTATGTAAGATTGTATTTGCTGCTGTTATTTAGCATTTGCTGATGTATATATCAGTAATATGAACAAGATGAAAACTGGAGACAATGACTCTCACGTTAATACTATATAAAGCTGGCAACAAACTATCATCTAAACTAGCTTAATTTATAGTCAATTCATAAGAACATTGTGATTATAGAACACAATATATGAAATTTTAAAGCATTCAAATCTCCATTATAACTTTTAAAATAAGACATTTGCAACAATATATATTTGTTGGTTTAGAAATAAAGTGCCTTATCAGAAGAATTTAAGCGATATTTTATACCGTTTTTTGAACCGATTTTTGATAGGCAGTGTACAGTTTTTTCACCCAAATTCCAGTATTTTTATGGCTCCTGTACAGTTTTATGGTCTTTGACTTATCACATGTATGTTTCCATGTATTGACACTGAATGCTTTTTTTCAGGCACTGAACTTCATTAGAACATTGCAATGTGACTTTTGAAAATAAAATAAATCGAAGGTGATAAAAAGTGGCTTAGTGTACATGTACATGTGTTTACTTTTGGTGAAAGAAAAATCATGGCTGCACAGGTTTTAGCACTCAGGACCAAGCAGAGATATTTTTTACTACACATTCCCTTCTCTCAGAAATCAAAAAGTCATATCTTTTTCAGGAATTCAGCCACAGGTAACCTACGTAAACTTCCCATGAATTCCGTCATCCCCACCCCCCTCAAGGTTGAGGGGGGCGATGGGGATTCACTTCTTGTAACTACCGGTGACTGGGTTATCAATGCTCAAGATTTTAAAGAGGAGGCCAAACTGCTTGCTGGTAATTATTTCAAATTTTTCTTAAAAACGAAAAGATTCTAACATTTTAGATTATTGCAAACCTCTAGAAAAGTTAGCTTAATTACAACAAAAAATTACAATTCTAAAAATTATATTAGTTTAATTACAAAAGTTTTATCACTTTTTTTTCAAAAACTCTCTTAATTTTAGAGGGGCACAGGCTAGATGCCTGCCTCCCCTCCAAATTTGCTACTGAGTAGATAGAATTCTCTTCACTACTTAAAATATAACACATACATGTATAATTATAAATTCTATATCTCAGACATTTCAGGATAGAAAACTGTGAAATATCATAAAGGATACACATTTCAAGCTATATTTCAGACGTATAATTGTTTACACTGTTTATTCCCTTATTAATAATTACATATTTGGTATTTGTCACATGGATGTTCATCTTAACTCATTTTATTGTTTAGAATCCCTCCAGTTAGACATGAAGAAAACAGAAGCAGTCTCAACTGTCATAACTTTCAGCCGCACTAAAATCAACTTACCTACGGACTCAAAACTTTCTCTATCAGAAGCCTACGAGATTTTGATTGACCCGGATTCAGACACAATCCAGATAAAGGCAAATTCGGAACCCGGAGCATTTTACGCTGTACAAACACTTTTCTCACTCATGGAGAAAGAGCAGGACAAGAAAACCAGGTCGGTGGGGTATCGCTTTCCTAAAATTAAGATCACAGATGCCCCTCGCTTCGAGTACCGAGGACTGATGTTGGATGTAAGTCGTAATTTTGTCACCAAGAAAGACATCTTGAAGCTGCTAGATTTGATGGCGATGTATAAAATTAACAAGTTCCATTTCCACCTGACCGATGATGATGGTTGGAGGTTTGAAGTCCCCCAGTTTCCAGAGTTAACAAAGGTAGGATTGATTGATTGTGTAATGTTTTATGTCCCGTTCAAGAATTTTTCACTTATATAGAGACATTATGAAAAGTATAAAAAAAATAGGCCAGAAATAAGTCTTACCTGTAATAATTTTACTTTCAAAAAGCTTACATTAGACATTCACTTTGCAAAATTTCATTCCTTTAATTAATTACAGAGTTAAATACTGTGGAAAATCATGTTTGTGGGAGATCAATGATCATGGGTCAATCTTATACCAAAATTTACATCCTGATCGATGTACAATTTCTTTGTCAACATCATTGCAAAAAAATAAGGTACCCACAAAATTACATACTTGCGAACCGGTAAGTTGTTTGTTGCCCATAAACATTGACCCCCCATGAATTAAAATGATGTCACAGTATGGCTTTCAAATTACAAAAATTTAAAAGTCTTGCTGTATATTAGTAAAAGGTGGCTACATAATCTGTGTTACAATCTATATATGGAGTGAATTTATTTCTAGTTTGCTGCTAATCGCTGTCATGACCCGTCCCGCAAAGTCTGCCTCCCACCATCATTAGGATCTGGTCCATATACTAACACATCCGGATCTGGTTACTACTCCGTCCAAGATTACAAAGAGATTTTAAGGTATGCCAAATCCAGGCACATCCAGGTCATTCCAGAGGTAGATGTCCCGGGTCACGCCGGGTCAGCAGTCAAGGCCATGGAACTCCGATACAAGAAAACAAAAGATGCTAAGTATCGTCTCACAGATCCAGATGACCTATCCAAATACAGATCTGCCCAAGCCCATACAGACAATGCAGTAAATCCTTGTATCGATTCCACCTATGAATTCTTCAAGGTCATTCTACTTAACCTTCATGACATGCACAAGGACATTCAACCTTTGACCTATTACATGTTGGGTGGGGATGAGGTCGCCAAAGGAGCCTGGGAGAGATCTCCGGTGTGTGAGAAATTCAAAAGGGATAAGGGACTGATGGGTTACCATGATTTGAAGAAGTATTTTTTCAAGAGGCTAGTGAATGAGCTGAAACTTAAGGGCTTGAATGTTGGATTATGGGAAGATGCCGTCCTAAATGATAATCAGGAACCTCATCCAGTGGAAGAGAGCAAAAAGGGGTGAGTTACAAATACAGTACATGTACATTTACAGTATATATTACTGCATGTCTGTTCTGTGTAGAGTGTTTAACATTTTCCTGCCTTCGTGTGCTCCATATACATGTACATTTATTGTGTTTTCTTGTTTGGCAGAAAAAAAATAACCATCCACTAAATGAAACTGAAAGAAATTATTACCTGGTACTCAATTTTACTTGAAGCGATGTATGCTTTTTATTTTTTTTTAATTTTTTTTTCTTTACAGAAAACTCTATACATACAGCTGGACCAACATCTGGGAATGGAAAAAAGGTTCCTTGGCTTATAAACTCGCCAATGCTGGTTACAAGGTTAATACAAGCTTTATATATGCATTATGAATACCCATCATTTAAATTCATCTAAATCCTGATGAATCCATATACAGTAAAACTTGTCTAATCCAGACACCAATGGTTTCAAAAAAATTGGCCGGATTAGACCACATTCTGGATAAGACAACATTTTAAACTATTTAAATAAATTTACTGAAATGGACTTGCATGTACATTGTATTAGGCAAGATTTTGGAATATGCAACATCCAGATTAGACAAGTTTTACTGTATATATAGTTACATTTGGTTAACAGCTTTGCATCACAGTCTAATTAATTGAAATCAGGTGTTCTGATATATATACTGCTGCTTACTAATCACTGAGAGGTAATTTCTGAATGACCAAAGAATTTGAATATTTAAATGCAAGGCCATGACCTTTATGATCTTTGATCAATGGAATTTTTTTCAATTCATGTTTCCTAAAACTGTAAGGAGAAGTTACAAATCTTTATAAGCTGGTATAGAAAATCAGAAAAGCTAGTTTTCAGATTGGTTGCATCCTATAGAGAATGGCCATATACCGGTAAAGAGTTGACAGTGATCATACATGTAACTATATTATATATTCAAAGATTTCATGTGACAGTCATAAACTAAAAACAAGTGGTAAAGAAATGGGCAAATACATGTGTGTACTATTCTGATTTTAAATTGCAGGCCAATTCTTGGCTACAAAATACTACAGAAATAAATAGAATAGGCACAAAAACCTGTGGCTTGTTACTTTTGATTTTATACACATTGTTAACTCTCATCACTTTAACATGATCTTATTTGTTTTAACAGGTGGTGATGTCCCCTGCTACATACTTTTACTTAGATCACCCCTATGAACCTGACCCTGAGGAGAGGGGTCTGTACTGGGCCACGAGGTACATAGACACTCAGACCGTCTTCAGTTATCAGCCAGACGATTTGTACCGGAACAGAGGGACTCAGCATAACGGGGCCCCAATGACAGATGATATTTTGTGCTCAGGGGGCTGTCCCCCCTTAAAAGAACCTCAGAATATTAAAGGTATGAAATTGTACAAAGCCGTAGTAACTCACTCCCCCCCCCCCCCCCCAAAAAAAAATATTGAGCAGTGTAAATTGTTGTTAATTAAATTCTGAGTAAACTCAAAACCAGCCTTATCTCTCTTTTCCTGCAACTAAAATATAAGTGTAATAGGTCAAGCAGAGCAAAATTAACATAGGGCCAAGTATACAGTGCCCCTTAGCAACCTGACAAAATCTTCTGCACTCGGATCACCTCAGCCGATTCCATCCTCAGAATCTGCCAAGGTTTACCAAATGAGTCTTCTGGATGAATATGGCTGTGCACTGAAGAATTACTTTCGAAGAGTCTGAACATGACAACTTTGTTTTTTTTTTTTAGGAATCCAGGCTGACTTGTGGACGGAGACTATCAGAAATGTTGACCAGATGGAATATATGTTGTTCCCACGATTACTAGCCCTGGCAGAGCGAGCTTGGCACAAAGCACCCTGGGAAAACATCAAAGACCTGACCAGACGGAATCTGAAGCAGCAGACAGACTGGGAGGTGTTCGCCAACAAAGTGGGTCACAAAGAGCTGAGGCGATTGGAGGAGAAGAGGGTCAAGTATCGCTTAGATCTTCCTGGGGGAAGGTAATAAAAGTTTGAGGTCATTTATTTTACCAAAGTCAGAAAAGCAGAGTGCAGTTAAAGCAGATTTAAAAAATGATGCTTGCTTGTAGAAAAGTTATCTAGCAGGTTTAAATTTACAATGACATTTTTTGTTATTGGTGTGTGGTATATTAGGGAGTACGGGAAGTACATAGGTTTAAATGCAAAGATGATTGGTGATTCACAAAACGAATTTCAAATACATGAATTTAGCATCTTTTTGACAGCCATGTTATCATAAAGGAGAAATAAAAATGTACTAGAATTATCTTAATTCTAAATGCCATAAATCTTTGTGTCAGAAAAGACAGGGTATTGGATTGCACAGTGTAAGGAACATGTATGAAAAATAATGGGAATGAATATAAAGTAAAAGTCAGAATTCACAGCAAAACAGATTGCACAGGTGTCAGATTAGACAGGTTTTCCTGTGTATATATTATCTTGAAATAAGAAAATTTTGATAAAAATTTCCATTTTTATGCTTAATTACATGTTCCTGATACCATTTTCAGATTCAGTAACTCAATTTTGGAAGTAAACACAATTTTCCCAGGAACTCCTACTGAATACAGCTTGGATGGGGGAAAAACATGGAAAAAGTATGACCCAGAAATTTCAACTAAACTCCAACACAAAGGCAGCATCTTGTTGAGATCTTCGTAAGTGTTTTAAGATCACCTAAGTTTTTGATCACATTTTGTCCAGTGTCCATCTGTCTGTAAACTTTTGACATTTTCAGCTTCTTCTCAAAAGCCACTCAGAAAATCTTCTCAAAAGCCAATTTTAACTAAACTTGCCACAAAGCATCTTTGTTTGAAGGGGATTCAAATTTGTTCAAATGAAGTGCTGCACCTTATTTCAAGGGAAGATTATTAAGAATTAGTGAGAATTTAATGGCATCTTTTAAAAATCCACTGGGCCTAAAAAGATGAAACTTATATGATTAGATAGCCCCATGTTGATCATACCGACATTGTGTTGATACCACTCAGATTAAATCATAGCTTCCCTAGGGCTAGATTTTGGTTTACAATGTTGAGTCAAAGAATTTATGAAAGAAATATTAGGAAAAATAAGAAAAAAATTAATTTGCTGATGAAGAACAGGAAAGCCAGAGTGAGCATTATGGCCCATCTGCTCTTGTCCTATTTACTTGTACATGTAGTACCGTCTTCCTCTTTAGAAGAGCTTTGGCTAATTTCTATCGGATTACCACAAAGCATCCTTGAGAACATAGTGTAATATATCAGAGTTTCATTTGCAACTCCATTTGTCAGAGAATGAAATGCCATTCAAGTTATTTGGGTTGCCTGCAAATTCACTGGAAATCATTTAACTAAAAGTTTTCATGAACTCTCTTAGATACAATCTTTCTGTCATGGGGATCTAACATTGCAAGGTGTGGATCCAGGGGGAGTGGACTTGGCCACCATTGGGGAGGGGGGGGGGGCAGTTCTAATGAATTAAATGTATTTGATTTTAAGCAGTTTAGAAATCATTTTATCTAGCAGCTTTTTAGATAGCAATATTTCATGCTTTTGTAGATCATTTGATGGGAAAAGGAAAAGCAGAGTTGTGTCAGTGGATTGAAAATGAAAATGATGTCTTTTCGTCTTCTGTTTATGTAAATTTGATTAATTATGTTTAATGGTGTTTGATGTTATAATAATGTTATGTTCATCTCATCTTGTAGTATTTATTGCCAAAAAAAATGTTTCTTTTTAAAAATGAACCTATGATATAACAGGGTATACCCTAGCTGTAATTTCTATCTATGTTACTTTGCTCTCCAAGGGTATATGAATATAGCTATTTTGTTTTGGATTCTGTTCTTTTGATCCAAGTTACATGCATTAGCCATTGAGGAATGAAGATGGTTTCATAATACCATGTGTATCTATTTGTATATGGTAATTGTTAATTTTATTTTCTATAATTATATGATGAGATTGGCCAACACTTTAATGATGTAAAAAAAAAAATCTCAGTAATATTTTCCTACACTATTCCTATTTACAGGCCTGTGTTTTTTAAGATGCAATGCATTTATAAAGTGCCATAACCAAGGATTTGTAGAACTTGCCAAATATCCATGCTCTGTATTCATAAACATTTATGTGGGATAATAATATGTATCAGATGTTATTGTAAATTAATTAATAATAATTATTGATTAGCTGCTGTACATGTAATGTACTTATTTATTTGGTAGTGGTACACATGTAAAATTTAATGGAATTCTTTCTTAGTTTGAGGAAGAAGGAGAGAATGTTATGTACAGTAAAACACATGTACAGTTATAGCGAAGTACGAAGGATGTGCAATTTAGATTTCTTAACGTACATGTAATTCATTTTATTCATTAAGATTAGAAAGTGTTTTGAAAACATGGGGATTAAAAATCACTTTTCTGTAAACATGAATTCATTATAAGTTTGTTTGCTAGAATTGTATTTTACTGTATTTCCTTATTAGACCTACATAGATACAAAATTAACCCATATATATTTTTTTCAGTTATTTATAACTCAGTAATTCCTAGTTTTCTTTTTGATCTATGAATGAGTTGCACATACATGTGTAATCTGCTTGGTTATAAAAAATTAACCTTTTGTCTTCCCACCTTTACACATAACAGTATTTTTATTTTTCATAGATTTTTTTTCTTTTTTTTCCCACAGAATTATTAAATAATTTGAAAAAAATAAAAAAGGTGGGGGATTGAGATTTTTTTTTTCACATTTAGGAAAAGAAGAATTCAATTCTTGACTTTCATATGTACTTTGATATACTGTATATTTTGTGTGAAATAAATTGACATTCCAATTATTTTAATATGTAGATCTACATTTGTACATGCATATATTGATTGACAACACTTGCAGAGATTTTTTTCTCTATATGAATTCTAATCTTTCATTACAATGTGTTTGTGTTATTTAAACTTCTGTGTGTGTGTGTGTTTGTTATTTGAATTTACTAAATATTTCATCACTGTTTTGGAGATGTACTGTGTACATATTGTATTCACCAAAGAAACACTTAATTTCCAAAAAAAAAAAAAAAGAAAAAAGCAAATTGATTTTCTGATTTTTATGTGTTTCATGATGGAAAACCTGATTTTCGATTGTCTGAAATTGTTGTAAATAATATAATTTCCTTAAATTAAATATGGCAATTCACTTTAAAATATCCATGGTATTTGAGAAATCGGAATTTGAAAAAATCAAAGTTCAACTGTACATAATTATACAGCTTTTTATCTAAGGTGTCATTTTTTGTATCATATTAATGGTTCCCATATGTAGAATTCTAAGGTTAACTTCAAATTCACTGAATGTTTTTCCTGTATATAATATTGGAAATGTAGTATAGAAATATAATTATACTCACTGCCTTACTACCTATGTAATCGTCCATGTAAAAAAAAATATTGTATTTCGATCATATCAAAATGTTTCATGCTCATAATCTGGTACTTAAAATGTATCCTCACTGAAAACCCCTCCATTTTTACCTTATGGTCCAGTAATGAAACTACATTGTAAGCACTTAAGAAAATGATGGAAAATCAAGATGTTATTAACAGCCCCTTATCAAATATGACTGTAAATTACTAGTATGTCAAAAGGGTATCATATCCCCCAATCCTTCAGAATTAATGGGGAAGAGGTATTATGATGGGGTAATGACCTAAGCTTAAAAATAATATTAATAGGTGAAAATTTTGTTTTTACGTAAAAAAAGAAAATATTTTATAATTTTTTTTATTTTTTTAAATAAACCTACATATATGCTGAATCCTGCTTATCTAGATTCACCAAAAGGTTTTGTCATGGTATTGATGCTAACGCGTTCTCAGTTGCCTTGAAAAATATCTTTTACAATCTGCAGTCAAACCTCTTTATCTCGAACTCGATGTGGGTTAGAGAAAGGTTTGTGATACCCAAAGATTCGAGATATTGAGGTTAAAATACATGTATATATTACAATCGGATGAGATTTGCAATTCACTGACTTAACCATGGTATTCGCGATATCGATGTTCGAGATACCGAAGTTCAACTGTATTTCTATATAATTCCTGGAAAGGCCAGCATGCATTAAAGTGCTTGAACTCTAATGCAGTGCATTTCTGATGATAAAATTTGCCATTTCAATACCTGTTATATATATAATATTCTAATCTGAGTTGGACAGGAAAGTGCAGCTGCAGTTAATTATTAAATTTAACTGAACTGATCTAATGTCTGTATAAATTGTATTGGTTTTCTTGTGCATGTTTTTTTTTAACATTTTGTAAAAAAAAAAATAGAATTAAAATGTTTTTGTCAAAGATTTTTTTTTTGAAAGCTAGATAAGCTTGTACATGTAGTGTTAGACTATTTTGTTTTATTTGACATATAATGTATCTGTGGTTTATTACATTAAAGAGGAATAAAGGTTTTGAAAAAAAAGGTTTGTTTGAATATCAGTTTTTAAATCGGCTGTTGTCTTTTGAACTTCCCTGTAGCTGAAAATTCAAGTCAGTTTTCCCTCGTTTATCTTTTATATGTTTCTCTCAACTGCTTTTTCTTCTGGAAACATTTATTGAACAGTTCTAACATACACGTAGGGAAGCGCCCTGGGAGAAAAAAAATTTAAACTACATGTACCTTCAAAGCAGATGTTGCACCTTTTTTTTTCAAAACTTGATATAGTAGAACCCGCCTATTAGGAATCCGGATATATGGACATCTGGGTTATAAGGATATTATAGATTTTCCCTATCCCTGAAATCATGGGGTTTTTTTTGTTTTTTTTTTGTTTTTTTTTTTTTAGAGTAGAAATTTGGTCACAAGGAAATAAAAATCCTTGTCCCCAAGACCTCCTCACGAGCAAGTTGTAAACTTAAAAATAGAAAAATACAAGAAGAGGATTTCATATAATGGTTCAATTTTAAAAGCCATTCGTACATAATGATACGCATTGTAGCAATCAGACTGGGGGTTAATATTCTTCATAGAAACAAGCGAATGACACCTCCCTCCCCTGGCCTCCTTTAATGATAAAAGAAAAGTCTGTTATTGTTCCAAAACAATTTTTTTGTTCACGTCGTGTAGCTCCTGGACAAAACTACTACCAACGAAATAATCAGAAAAAAGAAAGTAAACGAAAATTATGTATCAATAGCTAAATTATCAATTTATTCAAAAACCTGAACATGCGTCTGTCTCTTAGATTCAACAATGTACACTTGTAATGCAAACTTAAAAAAGATAATTTATGATACATGTACATTTAAATGCGTATTGAACATACAACGATGATGATGCACACGACAAATGAATAACTCCAATTAAGGGTACGTCCGTTTTACTGAAGGAATAGTAGTATGACCAAGATTAAAGGTGCTTGGACACAGATTTGAAGTTAACATCTTCTCAAATTTTCTATATAATTTCATCACTTGTATGTTGCCATAGCATTTCATACTAAAATATAATAAAAATCTTATTTCATCTCGAAGTTGTTTAAACTTCGAATTTCTGGACGTGTTGGATTGACACATCCTTGCGCTTTCACATATTTTAATTTTATTCTTAATACTTAAGAAAAGTGGCAATTTTGTTGTGTATTAATGAAAAATATTAAAACTATAACCCAGAAAATTCAGAGTAGAAATGTTCGACAGCAAAACCCACTCACAGTATTGTCAGTCCGTGCTCAGTGATGTATGCAGAGTTTAACAATTGAACACACCCGGTGAATCGTAAACATTAACAATAACAGTGCTCGTGCCCTGTTTAGAAAAAACAGTTTACGTTTCATGGGTGTGTTCAATTTTTTAAATTCTGTACACATCACAGAGCATGGACTGACCTAATGGTGAGCTGGTTTTGCTTTCGAACATTTCTACTCTGAATTTTCTGGATTATAGATGTAATATTTTTCCTTAATACATACATGTAACAAAATCGCTTCTTCTCTTAAATATTAAGGATAAAGTTAAAATTTGTGTAAGTGCAAAGATTTGTTAATCAAACGCGTCCCGGAATTCGTAGTTCCAATATTTTCGTGTGAAATGCTATTGCAATATACAAGTCGTAATATTATATAGAAAATTTGAGAAAATATTAAGTTTAAATATGTATCTAAGCACCTTTAAATGTTCTTTTGCAAATTAGTTTGCCATCTACGTATACGTTTCTTTGAATGTGATTTTATTGCATTTTAAAATAAATTTCTTTTATCATAGTCCCAGAATAGCGCTTTTTTTTGATACAGATATACTAGTTAAGAAATTAAAATCATTTATCAATTCTGGTCCTGTTGTAGAAAGGTGCATGCTGCCTTCTCATTTAGCCAAGTAAAATCTTTTCAAACTTTTCCGGCTCTTGTATTCAAACAAATAAATTCACAGTGAAGCTTATTAATATTCATATTATTGAATTCAATGCATATGGGCAAAATTATATTCAAATAAAAGTGCAAGTCGCTGAAGTCAAATGAACATAAATATATATATTAACAAAAAAAATTAAGTCATTATGTTGATTATGTTGATAAGATTTTTGGATGTTTACATTCCATGCAGCATTTAACTTTGTCTACAGTGAAATTAATATGAGAACAAAAAGTCATGTGTCCCCAAAAACTAGTTTTCCTGTGATAAAATTTCCAAGTGCACTGGGGTCATTAGACCGGAAGTAGTCCGTACACAGTTCTTTGTAATATTCAAAGTCGATTTTCTTCTCATTATTCTACAAATAAAACAGCAAAAAGCATATTAATTATGTTTGAAAAAAAAATTATTTTCAGAAGCTAGGTACCTATACTGAAAATCCTTTCCAGTCATAACTTATATGTATTACAAACATTTTCAAAATTATAGTATTTAAATGTTGCCTAATCCCACATTCACTTCTATGAATAGAATATTGATTTTAATTTTAAATTTCTATTTCATATGAGGTTGACATAACTTATATATACTACGACCAGGATTCGATTCCGGGTCCACTGAACTAACAGGTTGCTCTTAACCAAATGAACTTCTCTGGTCACCGGCGATCAAAGCAGGTATAATCACCACATTCCTTCATCCGTAAATGCTTTTTACCCCCGAAGACATGCATCAACCCTGGTTCATCCCTGACAGGTTTTTCACCTACAATCACTTCCAGGGTATACCACAGCACCAAATGTAACAGGAAGGGAGAAAATGCAATGAACCAAAATAGAATTTGAATCCAGGCCTCTTTACCTCTGGATGCTCTACAATCTGAGCTAAATACAAGGCCATCACAGGTGTTAGGAAATTGGGTGGCTTATAACAATACCAATTTAATCTAATTTTAAAATCCTGAAACCCTGACATAAATATTAGATGATCTGGAAATCAGAATTGTAGTGTTTTTTTTTTTTTTTTTTTTTTTTTTTTTTTCAATTTTGCGACTGTGCATTGGAAAAGGAGCAGTATGCAAGAGCTAACTATACAATTAATTTAGTATATTCTCTGTTTGCCCTTCCATTCACCAGTTTAAACTTACATTTGAGATTAACTTACAAGTTTGAGGTCAGACCACCAGTTTAATAAGACTGTGGAACATTAACTGGCAAAACTGGAATAAGCTTACGTCTTTTCTATCTGTTACAGTCAAAACATTTAATGATAGACAATGAAATTGGCGGGTACATTTCGGCACGGACGTCCGAAAAAAAAAAATTGGATTGAAATTCTAGTTTGAAATTCATTTTCAATCCACCTGAGCGTGAATGTATGATCCAAAAGATGAAATAATTTCAATTCCCAAATACATGTTTGAAATTCAATTTCATCATTGTTTATATAAGTTTTTAGCCTATGATTTTGAGGACAAATAAAAGTCATAGAAGACAGAGATTATTTTTTTCAGGGAATGGCTATTTGATTCTAGAAGGGGGGGGGGGGTTGTCTAGTCAGATCATGCCTTCACATGACAAAACATATTTATTTCTAGGATGACAAGAGGTATTTTCTTTAGTTTTGTCTTCACTGAAAAATGTTTGACAAACAAAGACAGGGAGGGGTTGTCCAACTAAAAAAAAAAAAAAACTTTTCTTTTTTATTTCTATAATCGTTCAGCCCCTCCAACCCCCCAACACATGCATGCACATACATAACAGCAATCAGATATTTTTCCCTTTATATGTCTTTCAAAACACTGGACAGAAATTCTGATTTATATATTTAAACTTTAAAATATTCCGATATTGTAATTGTTTGTCTTCTGGGTCAATCAGTAACACATTGCCTTCTAGCGTAGCTGAGGTGGATTGAAAATGAATTTCAAACTAGAATTTCAATCCAATGTTTTCTCGGACGTCCGTGCGGAATTGTACCCGCCCATTCCATTGTCTGTCATTAAACAGATGGAAATGACGTAAGCTGCATATTTCCAATTTTACCAGTTAATGTTCCGCGGTCTTATTACCTTTGAGATCATGAGAAAAGCAGAACGGGCATCCTTTGCCGGAACTCCGAAATCCCCAAGTACATATTCAAACTCGTCACAGTCTATATTTCCATCTCCGGTCCTGTCAAAGAGGTCAAACTTGTACCGGATGTAGTTCTCAAGCCATTCGGGAAGCTTCCGCTCACTCGGAACCTTGTCATCTTTGTTTCCCTCTTTAATACACTGTTCACTGAAGTTCTGCCACATCTTCAACTTTTTTTGGAAAGAGACAGATTGATTGCGTGAAATGCATGCACTATATGTACATGTAGCTTATGTGCAACATACATTATAATATATGCATCATAATTTTCCTATACAGTCAAACCTCGTTATCTCGAACTCATTGGGATTCGAGGTATCCTTGGTAATATACTTGAAGAATAAGAGGTTTGGGCTTTCAAATCGCTTCAACATATTCATGGTATTCGAGATATCAGTGTTCGAGTTACTAAAGTTCTATTTTATATTTTGATTCATATCTGTGTTTCAAACCACAGTGACTATACTATATATATTATACTTCAGTGTACTTGTCATTCCTAATTGGATGGTACCGTAAACAGACTTTAATACCAGCATATCAAGATAATTATCGTATAGCCGGATTCTTTAATGGGTGCAAAAATTTGACGGTTTGCTTGCTCAAAGGTATGCCAACAATTTTGGCGGATCTTTTTTGGCGGACACACAGTTCTTTAACGTGTAAAGTAGAGGAAGTTCATCTTTTGGATGCGTTTTCAGTACGTTTAAGATACACATGAATACTGATTTGGGCAAGAGCTGAGTAAAAACCAACACCAAATGAGAGATATGATGTTTGACAACAGACTGAAAAAAAATATTCTTCTTGAATTCAGTACTTATACATAATGGTGCAAATTTAGCGATTAAAATTTTAGCGAGCTACTTCAAAAATGCGAAAATAAGCCACAGTTAGCACCCCGCTAAAAATTCCCGCTATACGGTATGGTAGTAAAAGATTGTTGTAAAAAGGTGAATTTTAATTATTCTAAAACCCTTTCTTCTTGGTGAATGTTTTATGAATACCAGACGTAATTAAGATTAAACTATCCTGAATACATTATAAAGACATTATATTTAAAGTTCATACAATAAACAATTTCTGGTAATCGTTACATTACCCACTCCTCCGTTGTGATGAGTCCGTCGTTGTTTTCATCGCCCTCGTCCTGCAGTTTCCTCCAAATTGTTACAAACAGTTCGTGTGTTTTAATGTACTTATCAGTACCTGGCTTCCAGCCGCTCATTTCGCAAATTTTCTTAAAGAAAAAATATTATGGTCATTTACTATCCTTGAAAAAGAAGACAGATTTCTGTACATTAAGGTTTAGATCGAGTCGAAAATTTTAAGTGTTAAAAATTATACTTTGTGGTAAATTATTGTCTTGTGATTTTTTGCCTTTCTGTATGTTTGCAAGTGCATTATACTAGCAGGTGATTATTCAGTGCAGTCCTGTGTGTAATCGGTATAGCTGTAGCCTACCATAACATCATTATTTGTAGACATTTTAGTACATTAATTGAAATTATTACCTGCCTAGCCATATCAAAATCTTTCCAATCCAATTTTCCATCTTTGCTAAGGTCTGTTAATGAAAAAAAAATACTAGTATATTTAGATCAATCATTATGGCAGAACATCCGTAGTCTAAGGAAGTCTGGATAAAACTTATGATAAAACCCCATTTAACCTGTTCCCATTAACTACAAGTGTCGTTAGTTTCATTTAACACTTTAATCTATCCCTCCACCCGAAATAAAAATTCTGAATCCGCCCCCTGAAGTCCATTTTTTTTCTTTCTCTATAAAGCTAAACTAAGTATTTTTTTTAAAAAATAAGTAAGATTTAACATTTAAGACTTTTTATGTTAAATTGTCATTAATATACATGTAACATAAAAAAAAATTGCAGATCCCAATTGCAATAGCCACAATATTAAAAACTGAATTGTTTAAAATTAATTGTAGATTTCAATGGCCATGTGTTATGAATAGAACCAGTTATGTAATTGTTTTTACCAAAGAACACTGTGAATTCATGAAGTAATTTCTTTTTCTGAAATGACGTTAATTTTGTGTCCACCAATCCAAGGACAGCGCCCATCTTCTTCCCACGAAATCTAACCGAGTCTATCACTGAAAAACAACAAAATGACATTCATTAAATATTTTTTTCTCATTCAATGCACATCATACATCCATTCAAATAATCATACATCGATATCCAATCCAACTGTGTGATGTAAAATATTGTAGGGGAATTAAATAGCTACATTATTGTAACAGACACTGATAGGACGGACACAGTTGAATGTTTCCAGCCTAATATATTGGTCATTGGTCAAACTTTTGAACATTAAATCTTAAAATTGGCATCAATGGTATTTTTCGAGGGAATTATAAAATTTGCAAAATATTTCAGGACATTATATATTGATAACCAATGCAACATGTTCTGTTAATATGACCTCTACATGGGAGGATCTAGAGGGAATGAATGGGGTCAGGGGGTTCCAACCACCTTGGACCCCCCCCCCCCCCGAAATAGGATTTTCAGGGGGATGTGCATGTCAAGAAATTTCCAATCTAACATTTGGTACAGTTGATGTGGCCCCCTTCCTCTTTCCGGAAAAAAAATCCTAGATCCGCCCCTGCTCAATTCTACTTCGTTGGTGAAACCAGATATTGAATAGATAATGCTAAGAAAGCAAGATATTTTTTGAGGCAGTTGAAAGCATTTTTATGATTTGGTTAAAACGGAAAAGTATTAACAGTTATCATATGCATTGAAATCTTTGCAAGTACAATTTAGAAAAAGAGATAAAAATATAATTATGAAACAATTAGTAAGAAATCATATGCATTGTCTTTTACAATGAATTACGTTGGAATTTTCTTTTAGAAAATACTTACATTTAAAACAAAGAAATCACAATAAAAATAGCTTTTCCGTGATTTGCACTAAAAAGTACAATCATCTTATATAAATCACCACTGCAGTGAACCACGTTCAACGCGATGACACAAGAAAACATCTGTTACCAGGGCAGACCGTCAGAATCAATACTGAATGTCGAGTTCATTTTTATAAAACGCTATTTGAGATAAGTTGGTTATAGTGAAATATCCAGTTATTATAGACTTGCGTACGATATAACCCGAACAATAATGTAAATCCAGACGTGCCTCATTCTAAGTATATTGAAATTTTATTTCATTGTTTATATTTGAAATCTTTTATATGCATTCAGCATTTTGAATTGGAGTTGAGATTGCAAAAATTTGATCGCACAGTTTTTTATGCAAAATATAATTTCAAGGCACATATCTTCTGCTGAGAAGCTGATATAAAAGAAAAACTCGTTTTAATTATTGGGAAATGCAAAAGCGATAATTAAGTAGCAGCAATTTATCATTACTGAAAAGAATATAACAAAACTGAGATATTATGAGAATTATACATATAAATAGATCCCGAGGAAACTTTTTTCAGTTGGGGCATAAGTGATTTTATTTTAAATTTAAATAGGACAAAAAAATCTGATATATTGAGGCTTCTGTCCCAGTGTATCTTAATAAGTGACGAAAGGGGGAGGGGAGTTGCAGAATTCCCCCTGGAAGGAGACACGTTTTTCCTTCAATTTACTACAGTCGTATCAGGGGTTGGGGATTGCAATAATATAAAGAAAGTTTTCTCTTAAATTATCTCAAAAGTACATAAAGCCTGGGTTCATAGACACTAAGATTAATCATATATAAATGTTTGTCTTAATGATAAAGATTTTTCAAGAGAAATCTAATTTTTGATTGAAATGCACACAATTTCACCATACCTTGCGGAGCAAAACATGACAAAAATAGCCTGTTCACTTAAAAAAATATACAAAGGAATAATATTCATTATCCAATTGAGAGTTATCTCTCTTATCAGAGGGTCAAACAACCTTAAGTTGAAAACAAATACATCTTCAGTACTAGCGTTAGAAACTGTATCACCCATTACACCTATTGCTACAGGACTGAATTAAGACAAATGAGCTAAACTATTCGATAAAAGAATAATGATTATTATCAAACAAATCTGATGAGAATCACATATTTCACCCCCCCCCCCCCCCAAAAAAAAAATTGATATGTCGCCACATCACCATATCAATTACGGCAAGCGGATCAAAGACTTGATTTCAATCGAAGTGATTCTTAACCCAAACGTTTAATGTATCGGCCATGCATGCCTTGTCAAAAAATTGATGAAAAAATAAATTTGAGGAGATGATAAATCTGTTACTTTCATTGGTCAGATTTGTTTTTCGCCCGAAATCGCTCAATATATCATTTAGTCATAGTTTTGCACAATAAAGTACATGATTTTACATGTAACAGCTGTATCTAATGAGGCCTCAGGTCCCATTAAGCATCACACGAGTCAGATGACCGTGCTTGATACATTTTAAACGCGTGTTTATGTTGTATAATGGAATCACAATGAGCTTTTGAGTAACAGAAATTCAATAAAATTCAAACATTACTGGCATTTCTCTCTCGAAAGACCCCCTTTATGTGCGTGCCCTTTATCGAAATGATACAGCACACAAAAATCTGTTTTAAATAATTGTAAAAAAAAAATTAATTAAAAAAAAATGAAAAATGACCTACAAGTTTATAACATATCTATAAAATATGGTCAAAAACCGAGGACTGCGTGGTTTAATGGTTAATTTGCCAGTCATAGTTTGGGTTCAATCCCCACAGACACCACAGCTGTATTAATTAGATTTCATTACTTATCTTCTTTGTTTAATATATACTTTTAATATCTTATTTGGCAAACTGAATTTATTATTTTACACAAAGGAAGCCATAACCGAAGTTATTTCAGAGAGAGAGAGAGAGAGAGAGAGAGAGAGAGAAGTAATCAGTGTTGAATCATTACGTATACAACACTTTAAACAGTCTCATCGATCAAATAATGTAAGAACCCAAACACTTTAATACATATTTGTGGAAGAGAAAGGGTATATGGAGCCATTTTCTGCTACATGTAACATAATTATATGACTGAGATACATTAAGTACGCAAAATGTTTTATTTAATATTTCCATATAAGAATTATTAACTTTAAATCAAAATTAGTTCACAGACTTCCTAGTTTATTTAATATTGTAAATTGCTAAATGTTGTACATCATAAATGTAACCTCATCCCAACCCCAACCCCTCTACACACACATACATGTACTGTACATGCGTGCAGAGAGAGAGAGAGAGAGAGAGAGAGAGAGAGAGAGAGAGAGAGAGAGATATGGACTTACAATTCCGGAAAAATCCTTGTTTGGGTTTTTCTTCATACTTCCTTCTTCTTGCATTTCTTGCAGACTGTGTATCCGACATTTTGAGAAATTCCAGACACATGGTGAAATCTCTGTATTACACCTGCTAACTCGTTATAACAACCTGTTGAAATCGATTATACATGTTAACAAACGCTTAAAGGCAAAATCAAACCGAGACAGCTGATTTAATCTTAAGATAAACATATATTTTATTCAGAATGCATTAAATACCTTCAAATTATTACAATCTATACTAAGGATAAAGCGAGAGCAAGGAAATGTCTTGGTACTAATAGTTATGGTACATTTAGTTTGATGTAGATTGATTTAAAAAAACTGATAATACTTTCTCTGGTGTATATGAACAGTACATTTTCTTTTTTCCATCAATTTGCATGTATTATCTTTTTTTAAGACAAACTAATAGAAGATATTTTCCCAACAATGAGTTGCGATGGAAAGAAATGTCATGCAGGAAAACTGGTGCATCCCTAGTCATGTTAGTGCAGATTCATTATTTTCGCGAGTCCAGGGTTTACCATCCGCTCCTCTGAATTTAAAATATGCTGATACATACCCATCTAGAACGCAGAAGGTGGGGGAGGGGATCCCTTTTTCTGAATATAACAGTCTTTTGCTACATGCATAATTTTCATATGTAAAATATGGGGTGCGTTCAAAATCATATACCAGTAATTTAGGCGCTAGGCTAGATATCTAAAATGAAAGCCTATTTGTTGCACCTATAGTAGATTAATGCTTGTCGTCCTTTACATGTTTATGTGATAGAGTGATTTATTTTAATTATTATATTTCAGGATTAAATTAATTCAGTTAAATTGTCATATTTATTTCTTTACAGCATTTCATTTATTGAATAAATCCACATGGAATTATTTACATCAATCTGTGTTTATTTAGTTATTTATAGATGTATGACATCACAGTGGTCATTTAAACCCCTGTCCCTTTCTATATATATCTTGTGTAGTGTCCAGGCCAACTTGGATTTCATTGGTTGGTTAGTTTCCCTCTCTTTTGGTTTTTACTTAGTTAATTACTTTTGTTGGAGATCTTGGTCTGAGTAGACATATTGGCTTTTGATATGATGACTTATTTATGACAATGACCAAGACAGGACAGAATATCACTGAATAGAGTACAGCTGTGTTCAGCTATATATATATATATATATATATTGGAGTTGTGGCTCTATATCACATATAGAGCTGTGATAATACTGATTATACTGAGAGTGAATATATTTATCAACAACGACAGCATGGCGTTTGTCATTATTCTCATATAAACGAACCCCATTTCAATGGCATCCACGGTGGGATTGGCTGACTGCCCATTGCGAGACTGACCGTGAGGATCTCACGCCTAGGAGGATCTAGGATCCACCGACGTGGTATATAGCGTGTACAGATAGAGACTGTGATTACTGCATAATCCATTCAACACTGGACTTTCAGTGAAAGTGACAAAATTGAACTTTGTGTGACTATATTTATTCATTGTGGTGTTTAGAAGCTTGCCAGCACGGTAAGGTATTTTTTATTGTTGTGCTCAGAACACGTGTATTTTGGACTGACCAGTCAGACAGGCATACTAGTGTTATACAGTAAATAGCCTGCTATATCCTTCCTGTATATAATATAAATGTAAATATTATTTATTTTTGAGCAAAAGACAATTGTAGTGTGCAAGAAATTAATTCTATTAATCTAAGATACCCGTTTCCACCCTACATTAATCTCTTTTCTCTTGATCAGCTGACCTTGACATTAGTGACCTACATTTAGACTTTCAGGTACAGGTTGTTTACAGGTGATTTTGAGGTAGTGTCTAGTGAGTTAATTGTTTTGATCATATTTGTTGATCTAGTTAGTATTTAGTTGCTTTATCACCCCTATATCACCCCTGTAGTAAATATGTGAAATCTTTCATTTAATACTCAGATTGCTGTACTTTTAAGTACATATTCCTAAGGTCACATTACTTTGAGTAATCAGTGTTGGTGGTTTTCACCATTGTCCGTCATTTATTGTTTACCCATTGAATTCCTTTTCATTTTTTTTGCATTGTTGTTCCGTTTACTTTGATTTTGCGTGATTTTGTTTACATCGGGTATTTGACCCCTGGTCGAGAGTTCGTCACGCTTGAGCGCACACGATGTACTGAAGAACAGAGTTATCTTCCTTGTGTAAGTTTGTAGTTAGAGTTATCCTTCATTACTTAAAACCACTGTAGTTATTTAGAATACAGTATTAGATTAAGGTTATATTTATTTAGGATTTAGTTGGTACATTCTTTGAACTTTGATATATATTTATCGAACTTATTAAGATATTTAATTTACTTATTTTCATTTCAGCTTATTTAGAAATTTAATATCAAATTTTGTTTTTCAGGTGAATAATACTTTTACATTTCAGTGAAATTTAGTGAACATTACATTGAATTAAAATTTAATTAAGTAGATATTTAGAATTTAAGTTTAATTAGTTTTATTAATTAGTAAGATTTTAATATTTCAACTTCATTTCGGACTCTTGGGATTGGATTACACATTGGATTCTTCAACTTCAGAGGATGTAATTTACATAATTTAGATTTATTAAGATAATTAAGGTAGATTTAGTTACTAGGTACTTAGTATTTAGTAAATTAGAGAAGTTTATTCAGAAATCGATCAACAACAAATCATCATGTCAGTAGAAATTTCACAGGAGGAACTCAATCAAATAGCATCAGTTTTCAAAGAATTAAATGTAAAACCTAAAGCTGATACAGCACAGGATTTCAAACAATGGATGACTCAGTATGTTGCACAAATGAATGAGGAGGAATTTGTCAATGTAAAGACAGAACCACACACGGATACTGGAAATTCATCAGCATCAGGAAGCACCATCAGTTCCCACATCCCAAAGATCTCTTGCTTTTCTGGAGATGGCAGCAAGAATGACACCACATATGATCTTTGGCGATATGAAGTTGACTGCTTGATCAAGGAGAAGTACAAGGAGGAAACAATTGCTCAGTCAATTAGGAGATCATTGCGAGGAGATGCAGGAAAGGTTGCCATGAGACTTGGTCCTGGAGCCACTGTCACCCAGATACTGGACAAGATGGAGAGTGTATTCGGCACTATAGAACGAGGAGAAACCATCATGGAGCAATTTTACAGTGCGCGACAAGAAAAAGGAGAGGATAGCATGAGTTGGAGTTGTCGGTTAGAGGAGATTTATAGGAAAGCTGTTATCAAAGGAGTTGCAACCAAGGAGGATGCAAATGAGAAATTAAGATCAAAATTCTGGAATGGATTACATCAATGGATTAAGGATATTACTGGATACAAATTTGATGCACTGACCAATTTTGATGAACTTAGGAAGGAAATCAGACTTGTAGAAAAGGAACATGAAACGAAGAAGGCACAATCTAATATGGCTGTAGCATCAAGTGAAGCTGAGAAAGGAGATGAGATTAAGGAACTTAAAGGAATGATTCAACAGCTTACTACCAAAGTCAGTGCTATGGAAGAAGGAAATAAGAGATCAGGACAACAGCGCACAAACAGGAATTACAAAGATTTTGGTGAACCATATGACAGAGTTCAGCCACAGTCCAGAAGAGGAAACTATGGATCTGGAAATTCATACAGTGGACGTCCTCAATACAGGAATTACAATGGTCCAAGATATAATCAGGGATACGGCTATGATTATGGATATAGCGACAATCAGGACTCTGCTTTACAAGAGACAGAGGATGGAGAACCTATATGTTATAGGTGCAGACAACCTGGACATATAGCACGTAGATGTCATGTGCGTCTGGACCACAGCAGAAGACATTTAAACACCAGGAGACCTTCGTTGCGGGGCAGACGATAGGTCAATACAGGAGAAGCCCTAATAGGAGTAGAACCAGTGAATTAGTAGGGAGTACTTCAGAAGTTGAAGCAAGTTTAGAAGGAAACTTAGTCAGAGCATTGATAGATACTGGATCTACTGTGTCAACAGTTAGCTATGATTTTTATATGAAACATCTTAGTCACTTAGAACTTCATCCAATAGAAGAACTTTTAAAAGTGGAATGTGCTAATGGTCAACAATTACCATATCATGGATACATCGAGGCTTCCATCATCAGTAATGGATTACCACAATCATCAGAAGAACAACAGTTTCCATTACTCGTTGTATCAACAAGCAATTACAACAGTACAGTACCACTACTTATAGGAACAAATATACTACAACATATGCTAGATGATGTCAAAGACAAATATGGAGACAGATATCTACAGGATGCTGCATTATTTACACCATGGTATCTAGCTTTTCGAGGAATGACAATACGAGAAAAAGAACTTGCTCGCAACAACAACAGACTTGGAATTGTAAAATCAGCTGAAAATCACTGCATTATTATACCACCTAATTCAACGGTTTCTATATCGGGATATGTCGACAAAGCTATACCATATCAGTCTACAACAGCTGTTCTACAAGCCACATCCTGCTCTGTAATTCCATCAGACCTGGATATTGTACCATCACTTACAGACTATACCTATCCAGCCAATCATGTGATAAGAGTGGACATTGATAACATCACTACAAGGACAGTACAAGTTCCACCTAAATCTATACTTTGCGAGCTACAACCTGTGAAAGTAGAACCAAATCAAACAGATATTCCTTGTTCTAACCTCCAGCAAACCAAAGATGTCCTGAATTTAGTAAAGATTGAAGAAGATGGGCTTACACCTTCAGAAAAACAAGGAGCAGAACATTTATTAAGAAAGTATGAAGATGTCTTCTCCAAATCAGACACAGACATAGGACACACCAACATTGTAAAACACAGAATTGAGCTACATGACGATACCCCATTTAAGCAAAGACCAAGGCATATACCACCTGCCATGTTTGAGGAAGTCAAAGATCATTTAAGGAAGCTTTTAGAGGGAGGAATTATAAGGAAGTCTAAGTCACCCTGGTCGAGTAATGTTGTCCTTTGTCGGAAGAAAAACAACGAACTGCGCATGTGTGTAGATTACCGACAGTTAAACCTTAGGACAAAGAAAGATTCATATGCATTA